ATAACTATAGCCTCAACTTTCTCCAACAATCTGATGGACAGGTGAACTGCAAATGACTAAAAATGGTGGGAAGTCAGAAAACAATGACCTCTGTGGAGAGTCACGACGCCCACTGACTAAAACCCCAACAGACAGGATCAGTCAAACAGACAGAAACGACTCAAGGCGTCGTTGAGTATGACTGACCGTGTCTGATTCTGTGTGTGGGCCGCCTAAGATATACAAAGTCCAAAATCAACTCATTCTTCTAATTTTTTTAACTTTATTTGAAGAAAATGACTTGCTTGTAGTTAACTTTTTCACGCCTACAAGGTCACACGATTGAATCTTAGGTCAGACGTTTTGGTTTTTTAGGGCCATCATCAATTTTATTTTTTGAAATACGGATTTGCATTTGAAATTGACAAACCAAAGTTTACATGAAAAAAAAAACAAGTTATAAGGCCGCCACACAAGTGATTGGATAAAATGCATTTTTCAAACATACTTATCGAACCTTCAAAGCATGAACTGAGCTGAGATTTCAAATAGACGGAAGGAATTCACTAAGTATACGCTCTATTTGTTATGAAAAATATTATGGTAATAAGGTAAGGGCTATGACTGCCCAGACCCACTTCTGCGGTTTTGAACTACTTTTAGGCGAATTGTGCTAGAATCCTGGAATTCTTTGCAGCCCCCCTCATAAATTGTTTTCCAAGATGCTATTTCTGAAAGTAAAACATGAATAATTTTTACATGCAACGTACAATTTTTTGCACTTTGCATTCGTATGTCTCTAGTGATGCCAAGTAAATGGGGGAGGAGGGGAAACACGTTCTACCCTTCATGGTATTCTAATGAAAAATAGATTGGTTTCTACAAACTATAACTTTCCTCTGTGACTACCTTTCTAAATCAATAGGCGAGAGGGGGCTACCTGTCATGATATTTTAATAAACTACCGCCCCTACCACAATAAATAGAGGGGGATACTTGAAGTCGCAATGAAAGGAACTAATTTTTCCCAACCACAGTCCTTCTGCTCGACCCCTTATTGTGATCAGTTAAAATTCCTCATATCTCTAGAGCGGAGTGTCAGAGGAGGGTACTCAAAGACAATTGGCACGTCTGGAAGAAAAATCTCTATTGGTGATGTCAAAACTTTAAGAGCGAATATCTAGAAAACTGTGTGTCTGAAGAGAGTGCACACAAAGGTGAAATGAATGGTCTGGAGCAGACACATCTACTGATGATGTCAAAACTGAAGTGCAAATATCTGCGAAGTGTTAGAGGAGGGTACTCTCAAAGGGCGGTTGGAACGTCTGCTCAAGACAAATCTACTGGCGATGTGAAAACTTAAGTGAAAATATCTCAAAAGTGGAGTGTTTGAGGAAGGTACCTACATTGGAAAAATGCCATATTGCTGAGATTTTCTCTAAGGGCTTGATGCTTCTTGCATGATATGGGCGTACATTATGAAAGTGTGGCAGACAGTATTTAAATGTTTAAATGTAACCCTACTCCATTTATGATCTACCAATATGGTAAACATTGATAAATATAGCATGCTACAACTTTACAGCACAATTATTTACTAAGCCGTTTCAGTTTAAAAAAATGTGCTTTATCTGCACAAGAGTTGGGCACAATTTATACTTATATTTTTATACTAAATGTAAAAAAGTAATGTTTTATTGGCACGAACCAACAACAAAAACAACCAATAAGAACACACTAAATACCAAAAATACATCACTTTAGATCTGTAAAATAGGTATCAATCTAGGCTACAATCATGCAAAATCTTCAAATTGAAAGCTCTAATCCGCAGCAATCCTTCGCAATTTTAGTATTGAACGTTAAATGAATTAAATAAATAATAAGTTGGAATATATTCAGTAACAATTACAACCCTGTTTTTATGACTATTCTTAAAGAGTATATAAAGTTACACATGTGTGACAAATTTTAAATTCATTATTGTGTGTGTAGTTTTTCGACAAACGGTGAATAACAGTGAATGCAACAATGGAACAACAAAACTCGGCTCAAAAAGCGTTGAATGTGATGCTACACTTAAATACGAATTAAAAACTTTGCGATATTTTCAAAACTATTGCGGATATTTTAAATTTCTTTCCAGATTATTATTCGCAACTTTGCCTCTATTTAACCAACTTTCTGTCTCTTCAAATAAGCGAGATCCCCATAGTGGCACTTGAAAATTGGAAACATGGCAAAAAATAAAAATTTGAAATTGGCACAAATGTGGAACTAAGAATAGTCACAAAGAAATTAGGGTTGCCATTTAAAAACATAGTTGATGACGTCATTTTTGGGTAACCCTATATAAAATTTTATTACATCAAAATCTAATCACACCACCCTGTAGAGGAGAAAAAGTTTTGAAAAATCTCTTCAAATAAAGTTACAAAAAAACTAGCGAATTTCGTTTTTTTCTACCAAAAACATTCCGAATTCTTTCAATTTCCAAAATTCGCAACTTTGCCTTCATTTTACTGAATGTCTCTTATAGTTTCCAAGATCCTAATGGCCACCCTGAAATATGGGACTTGTGTACCCATTACAGTACTCTGATGTGGGTGTACCCCAATCTCATTGGAAAATCAGCTTTTAAAGCTGGAAGTTCACTTACCTCAACAGAATACTTGAGAAATAGCATATTTAGTATTATAAAATTTCATTTTCATATACAGTCTGTTTCAAATTAAGTTGGCACTATTGCTGACTTTCTTAGTTGTAGGGTTAGAAAGACGATTAAAAGACTAAAATGTGTATTATTTTCTACTGAATCCAAATCTGTAATCTAAAAATCAAAACAGCATCAAATTTATCAGATAATATCAAAAATGTAACCTTTTTATATGGAACGCTCTGTATATTATTACATCATATGGAAGGGTATTAAATTATCTACAAAAGTGCTCAATGCCCCATAACAGCCATAACCAAAACACTTCAAATAACCATTTTTCGACTATTTTCGTTTCGATATAGATACCCATGAAAATGGTAAAATTACCTTGTTTGTTGTAAACTCTCTGATAGCCAACTTTGACATTTATTGCATAGTACTACTTAAGTTTATTTGCTAGAAAATATGCTTTTTATTTCACGCACCATATACTGATTTTTTTTTTTATTAAACACGCACTAGGCGTATACATTGCAACTAGTAGGTACTATCTAGCAATTTGTTTTTAACAGTTTCTTACCTACATCTAAGTCTACAGTCTTGAATCTAGGTAAGTCTTAGCGATTGGTGGATGTACTCCCATATACTGATGAAAAGGAAAATGTGTTTGAACATCTTCAAGGTAGGTTATATACACTTTATTCCGTATAACTTCCGTTGCACGTCATCATTTTCTATGACGTAACTACTATGCAATAATGCCAAATCTAGTTTTGAGCGATTTAGGTTATGTCACTTGTCAACAAGACAGTGCATTCTTTGTGTGAACAATCCACACCTTAAATAAAATAAAAACAATTTTTATTATTCATTTCGTTAATTGGAACCACAATATACATACAATATACTTTAATAACTTATGAACTGTACAAATGTAGCATCTCTTTTACAGAGAAAGTACTAAATATAAAATTTTACAGGTTATGTGATGTGATGGATGATTCAAATTAATCGGAATCATCGGAACTGCTTTCGTGTTCAAAGTTTATAATAATAGTAGCAACGTTTTCAAGATCTAATTGCTTTTCTCTTTTGTACCACTCGTGTATTACAGTTTCCGTATCCTTAACTGAATTGCGCCACGTTTCGGAAGTTATCCATTGTAGTGACTCTTGTCACATGTTTATGCAATTTTCAATGCTTCGTCCATCTCTACCAATGTGTCGATTGTAGTAATTTTTCGCTATGCCCCAAATATGTTCGATAGGATTACAAACGCGATGATAGGGTGGTAATCGTAAAACGAAGTAACCGTATTGCTCAGCTAAGTGGTCAATGCCTTATGCGGTACATTTTAGCTGATTTAATCCTAAAAGTATCAACAAGATGTATATAACATCAAATAATTTGCGAACGTACTTACTGTGCAACCTTTTCAACAGTTCGGCTGTAAAATCATTTTCGGAGAACTGCACATTATGATCACCTAACCACACTTTAATGTTGTCTGTTTTCCCGTTATCGAACACAATTACTGGCGGGTTATCTAAATTCTTCAGTAATTTCTCTTCAAACCAATGCACAGCGAAAGACGTAGAAAATAATCAAAATCAAATCAAACGAAAAGTAAACCAAAAGCAACCTGTCAAATTTACAAATTTAAACACGACAACATAGCGAAATGCTACCAATTGTTGCGGCTAAAATAAACTACATGCTTAATGTGTTGCCTAATAAACGAAAGTAAGTTTACGTTGGTACGTCGTTTTCTTCAGGTAATGACGTGCAACGGAAGATATACTGAATAGACCGTAGTTATATGTATTACTTAATTTCACCAGTTACTTTTGTTTTGTTAACAACCTACTACAATAAGCCCTAGCTCCAGTTATTGTTTTATATTAGGTATTTTTATCATTTTCCTGGACAATTAGATCGAAATGAAAATAATTGAATGATCTTGGGTTATTTGAAGTATTGTGGCTATGGTACATTAAGAACTATTGTAGAGAATTTAATAATATGTCGTACCATGAAATAATATACAGAGGGTTCCGTATAAAATGGTCACATTTTTGTTATTATCTGAAAAATTCGATGTTGTTTTGTTTTTTTAATTACCGATTTGGATTCAGTAGAAAAAATACACAATTTTGGTAATTTAACCGTCTTTCTAACTTTATAACTAAGACAGTTAGTAATAGCGGCGACTTAATTTGAAACAGACTGTATGTAAAACCAAAAAAAATCTGGTTTGCTAATCTAAATCATAAAATCTTACCATTTGGAGACATACTTACTAAGAAGAACAGTGAAGACCTAAACCTTATTAATTCACAAAAATGTGCATAATTTCTCTAACCTGCTAGAGTATGACGGCGATCTGCGATGAAGTTCTTCTCTAGGAAAACCTCGAGGAGACATGGATCTACTGGATCTCGATGGGGATTTTCTAAACTCGTCCCGTCCGAATCTTCGAGGTGGCGAGGTAGATTTGCTTGAAGAATAAGACGGCCGGCGAGTTGGATCCCTACCAAATTTGTCGCGTTTGGGCTTTGCCTCGACCACAGAACGTACATCGTATCTCGCAATTTCTTTTCTTTTTTCCTTGCGTTTACCTTTTCCCTTCTTTTCTTTACTAGCCTTCTCTCTTTTTTCTTTCGATTTGCTACGCACTTTATTATCTTTGTCACGGTAATTTCGATCCTTATTGTTTTTGCTTAGTTTTTTGAACACTGGCTCTTTGTAAGTTTCTTCGTTTTCTTTATTATTATCGTTCGGCGGAGAATGTGCAGGTGAAGCTACTTCTTCGCTCATGTTGATCGTGTCTTCGGTGGGTTTGTTTTTGGTTTTGTCTACTATTTCGCCTTCCTCGCATTCTTCTGGACGAGTAAAATCGAGTTCCGATTCTTTCGCATTTATTTCTAAAGCATCTCCATCGGAGATCGTTTTCAATTCTTGTTCTTGAGATTCTTCAAAATCATTTTTGTCATCATCGGATATCATTTCTGTGTCTAAACCCTCTAAACCTTCCTTTCCCGGTTCTTTCTCATCCAAACATGGCGTATAACTTCTTTCCTCTTCACTAATATCTTCGGTCATATTTCTAATATCACCGATACCAAACGGTTCTTGAGGAGTGAATTTTATTACAGCTTCGTCTTCAGAATCACTATAGAGACCTGAAGAAAACATTTTATTTTTTTTCAATTTCTCAATCCGTACAGGTTCACTGGGAAGGGGAACATTTGCAATTTCTTCTCTTTTTTTACTTGAATCTTCCGCTGCTTTTTCATCTTCATCTTCTCTTTCATCTCTAGCTTCTTTTCCATCTTCAACTTGGCTATCGTCTTCTTTATTTGCAACTAAGATATTAAAATCATTTTGTTTTGCTAGGCTAATACTTTCGCTGGAATAGATATTAAAATTTGGACAATCATCTTCCAATTCATCGACTTCCTCGCGGCCATAATCGTTTTGGTGATAATCATTATTGCTAACAGGTGGGCATTCATGTTGATTCGAGGACTGTACAGTTTCAGACTGTATTTCTGAATTCCACTGTCTTGGAGTAAAATCGATACGTTTTGCCATGGTTGCTGATTCACTTGTAGATGTAACTGCTTCTTCCTTTGTATCTTCGTCACTTTCAAATGCTGCTTCTGGATCATATTTCTCAGGATCAGACTTTTCAGTGTCAATGACAAGATCATTATCACTTTCGTTATCATCATCGCCGGCGTGCGTTACATTCGCCATTTGAAGTGGTGGAGGTGAAGGAAATTTTATTTCCGGTTCTTCAATTTTGCTAGTGCTCACTGTTTCTATATCACTGTAAATGTCCAATTCGGAATCACTTTGGTCATTTTCATCGTCGCTCCATTTATCACTATCTTTACTTTTAAATTCTTTCTTATTGCAACCCTCATATCGATGTAAAGAATAATCTTGTGGAATTTCGTTATTGTCATCGTCTCTAAAGTGATTGCTGGTTGATGATCCGGCATGTTCAACTGTAGAGGTCGGTAGGTTATTCTCGTGCGACTGAAAACTTGCGCCGCCATTGTATTGATTGCTGCTATAGTCCTTGGAGGGACCTACATAAATTGTTCAAAATTATAATTCAGTTCATCTTGAGTGAATTTGTTTTGGCATTTCAGTATTGACAATTTACACTAATTACGGCAAGGCAAATCAGAAAACGTGCTGCCAGTAAACAAATTCAAGAATACAAATACGATATCGACCATTATTTACCTCCACTGCTACTGGTACTAGGCTCCATAGGAGTTTGACGAATTTTTACTTTTTGATCTTTGATTGTTATAGATGTTTCCCTTGCAGGTGTTTTCTTGTCTATATCGATTTTTAAACTACCGTCACTTCTCACAGAAATTTTACTATTTCTAGCGTGTAATTTAGTTTGCGTATCCAAAATGCTTCCCAATATGTCAATCGATGTACCGGGACTTGAGTGTGGCAAAAGAGCTGCTTTATTTCGAGCGGCTCGTCTCAGCATAGAACTGTCAGACCTATTTGGTCTACGACCAACGATAATATTTATTCCCGCACCCTCACCACCTGAATCAGATCCGGAGAAGTAATCTAATTCGTCTCTTTGGCCGAACAGGTGTAATGTCGGAATTCCGGCTTGAGTTCTTCGATGTCCAATATCTCCAGAATTTATTTGTACCTATTTTTAATGAAATATTATAGAATACAATGTGACAATTATGCATTTGCTAATTATAAATAATTACGTCATAATAATAAAAGCCAAATATTAACATTTTTGATATGAAACACAGTATTCCCATTTTGCAATATGTGATTAAATTTTCCTTTTTGTGCCCGCTTGGGTACTATATTCTACTAACTCTTGAGCTATTATGTAGCTAGGTAACATTTTTTCGCAAATTTTACCGTTTGTCAATCTGAAAACACCAGGTTGCCAAATTGAACCAAAACTAGTATAGCAGTTCAGGATCATTGGGAAAACATATGATTTTGAATACAATTGGTTGGGGACCGAGGTGAGGATTTAAATGACTTCCTTAATTCAATCAAAATTAAGGTAAATAACGGGCGATCGAAAATGAGTCGCTGTCGAGTCGCCTTTGAAAGTTCAAGTTAAGTGCGATTTTCCATGTAAACAAAAATTCCAAAGGTGACTCGACAGCAGCTCATTTTTGATCGCGCATAGTATAATTATTATTATTTGAATAAGTTCCAAAACTTCTCCACAGGATTTGGCACAGTAAAACTGTACCGAAAATAAGTGGAGAATCTGCATGTACCAACGCTCTAAAGCCATCAGTAATTTAAACATTTTAAAAAGATATATCTGGTGGTTAAAAAAGAGTGACAGCACAAAATTTTCTAAGAGGAATTCTGTATGCATAGATAGACCCTGCCATAGTTTTTAGCGTATTTTCCACAAAGTGAAAAATCGCTATTGGCTGCACTTTGTCGTCCGTCCGTCACACGTACTCTTTCTACACCAGCACCACTGAACCGATTTGAGCGATATAGGGCTCATTTGAAAGGGCTAGGTCCAAGGTTTCCCTGCATATCGATATTTTTTGGTTTTGCGCATGCGCAGTGTCAAAAATTTGGATTAACGCATGTGCAATGCTAACTTTTTCATTTGATATTTAAATGAAACTTTATATGTACACACTACGAATATAAGTAAAATTAACAACGTTTTCAAAATGTTGTTTTGCGCATGCGCAATGCTAACTTTCTTATTTATGAAAGCAGTTAAATGAAATATCATATGTAGGCACTAAGTGTGGTGTCACACTATGCGTTTTTACCGCTCCCGCTAAAACGGATGCGGTTTGACAGGATGAGATCTACTTGTCACACTATTCCGGTCTAACGGGATGCATTTTTGCTATATTTTGGCAGTCTTAAGTAGTGTCATGTCTCAATTATATTGGTAAAGATTTAGTTTTCTAACTCAATGGTAAAGATGGTTTGTGCGCTTTAGGCGGAGGGGTTATTGCGGAAGCAGATATATCGTCAATATTGAATTGAACCTTTTAATTCAGAACGAGAATCTAATAATAGGTTCGAGAAGTTTTATGAAAAAATTCGAATGAACAAGAAAATTTTTTTTGTATATTACCGAATGTCCAAAAATGCAATTTTTACCCATGATTTCTCCCTACAGTTTTTAGCTACACACTCTTTAGATTGTTTTTCCCACAGTGCAGATTTTGCATGCACGCACTCGATGAGTAAACCGACATCAAACATTGTAAACCTAAGAAAACACTCGGTTGCAACGCTCAGTGTGACAACTGATGACAACCAACGTGCAACAACATGTGGTTTCATGTCATTGTGGTTGTCATATCATCCTGCGCAGCGGCAACAGGATGCGGTTGCATCCGGTTGGTGCGGCGAAAACGCATATATGGAACTGGTACCATTTAATAACGTGTGATATTATCATCCCGTCAAACAGGAGCGGTTTAGCGGGAGCGGTAAAAACGCATAGTGTGACACCACACTTAGAATGAAACTAAAACTAATACCGGTTCCAAAATTACTGTTTACGGCTGCTGTATACGTTTTATTTATCAAAGGTATTCAATGAAATTTCTAATGTAGACAATGCGCAATGCTATTTACGAAAGCATTTATAAAAAATTCCATATGTAGACAATTTGAATAAAAGTAAAACTAATGCCCATTTCTGATTTCAAAATTTGTTTGTATTTGTACACGCTCCACTATTTTTCAATAAACTGTATAGACTTCCGACAATAGACGGCCCATTTGAGAGAAAATGGTGCAAGGATCTCGTGCATACCGGTATTTTTTCCTGGTCCTAGCAATAATATTTTTGGTAGGAAAATACGCTCTTGTCATTTATGTTTGCATAATGACTTTTTAACTTGTTTATAACATTGTGTGAGTCACAAATTTTCACTAGCGGAAGTGTAATACACACAGTCTAAATTTTCGGTTTCTCTGACATCACATAGACCATAAACTGTACTCAGTTTGTATCAGTTTACACAGTTGCATTCCCCATAAACTAAGAAGTTGGCTGCCTGTTCTCAAATATAGGCCATGAGTTAAGGAAGAAGTGGTATGAATTTGGGCTGCGGGGGTCCACCAATTGGAGCATTTTTCTATGTTATACTTAAGAATACACCTATGGCAAATTGCGTATTTAAAAGTTTGTATTTGCTAAAGATATAATTTCTTTGTGATGTACTGTACACTTTTAGGTAACGGTTTGCGAGAAACGACCTGTATACACTGTGTCCAAGATAAGGATATCTATGGGGATCTCTGAAACCATAGAAGATATGACTATAGTCAAATTAGAAAAAAGAGTTATTATCATGCTTTAAAGAAAATTGGAAAATTAAGATTATTTCCGAAGATATGTAAGAAAAACCAAAATTTTTTTCTGATGTTATTTGAACAGATACAAAAAAGGTTCTTTTTTTGCACCATCTTGTTGAAACCAACAGTTACCAACTTTTGTTTTTTTTTGTGTGTGCTGTACATAATTGTATTCGTAATAAAAAGTGCTACTGAATATAGTACCTATGTAATTTTTTTACATTTTTATATAAAAAATGTGGTTTTTCAGTAACTAAACTTTGGATTGAAACCTTTAACTCTCTTAAGTAAAATCTCTCAACGTTATCTTGTAGTGTTCAAAAAATGGCAATGAGAAAGCGTTTATTATTTTTTATGTATCTCTTCAAATAACATCAGAAAAAATATCCATATCGGCAAATTTCGGTTTTTCCGACATATCTTTGGAAGTAATCTGAATTTTCCGGTTTTCTTTAAAGCATGATAACTCTTTAATTGCGCATCTTTTCTCCAATTTGACCATCTTCATATTAGACTGGTTCACTTTTCGAATTTTCTCTGTCCTAGGAGCATTTCAGACAACATTTGGCCAACAAGGCTTTTTTTACTAATTGGTACCTGCTGAACACGAATATCGATGTTGGCACCTCGAAATCTGAACAGGAAGTCCAGAATTCAAGATGGCGGCCAATTTCCGAAAATGTTGATCTTTTCACTCATGCGACCAATTTTTTCGATCTAAAAACTAATCATAATGTTATTCCTGACGTACGTCACGATAATAATAGTTAACTATTATTTTAACAATAATGTAATAGTTTTTTTAGCGGCAGGATGCGTAAAATTAAGAAATTCATAGCTCTCCTTGCCAAAAGGAGGACTTGCAAAACGATTGTTTCTCGTAATCCCTACACATATAAGTATTCCCGACATGCGTTTATATTGCATAATTCTCCTTATAAAGTTTTGATAACTACAATCTTTCGAATTTTACGTTAATTTTCAAATGAAAAAAATGAAAGAGTTCAACAAAGCTGCAGTGTTTCGGAAGATTCTTATTTTGCTAGGTATTAATTACCGTTACTCAGGATATATTATTATTATTAAAGTATGAAGGCATATAGAAAAGGGAAGGCAAATTTATCTTATTTTCGTGGTGTTAGGTCAATTGTCTTCTTGTGAATTAGGTACCTAGTACAAATCAACTGAGCCTTACAAAGTTTTGACGAGCAATCCTATTTACAACGACAAAGGACGATATCTAGAGCAGCCTAACGGAATTAATCTAACGTTGTGAGAATGGGGATGTAGCCATTTTCAATTCTTTCCCCAGGAAATCAAGGATAGATATGTTAGTCTGGGCGACATTTCAGAGTTTTAGGTCAAAGAAGTACCTCCTTGAGATTTACACCTGATATGCCGTAATTATGGAAATGGATGAAATGCTAGAGAAGATTAGATGGAATCCCAAGAGAATGGAGTTCAGAATTGTTAGATCTAAAGCTTCGCAGCTCCTGAAACTTGGCAATGCTTCTCCACTCTGGGAAGTCCTACTTGATTAACATAGATGGGGCAAGGGACGTACGCATTCTTCCAAACGGACGTCTGGTAACGACTTCTCCCTACCGAACTAAGCGGGACGCGCAGCGCCGGTGGAAGCTATTGTATCGGCTACCTAAAGAGAAGAAAAGACGCCACCTAAAATATGCGAACCAAGTCGATACTCTGAACAAGTGAAGTTTCATGTACCTAGTTATGATACCAACCTTGTATAGTTTTGTCACGAAGATTTTTGCAAAAGATATAGCTTCTCGCTGAGGAGTATGGTATCCAGCGTGAACAGTAAAGAAGAGCGCTTTTGAAACACTCTCTGGTTCACATCCGGGTTAGGATATAGATATTTGTAAATGTATAGTGGATTGGGTTGGTAGACCAGCCTTGTCTGAAACCCCCCTGCTTAAAAATAAAGGTCAAAAATAAATAAATAAATAAAAATAAATGCATCCAAGCATGGAAATTCACAACAGCAAATGATGTGACATCACTTCCTGTGATAGCGTAAAAGGACAGGATATTCGTTACTACTGCTTTTGGCCAGTTCCTCTGCACATCATTATGGATAGGAACAAATACATACCTTCCTTGAAGTACCGGGCTGGAACCAAACTTCGTTTGCCAGTATTTTCTCGAAGTGATGAAGAAGCCACAGAAATACATCTGTATATCTATAGCGTTATCCTAGTATTCGCTTCCTTGTGAAAAGCTTCTAAGGAGGAAATCTGTCGTCTGACGGTTACAGAAAACTTTTCTTTCGTCACTGAAGCTTTCAGCAATCACCAGTACGCC